GACCCTTTAATACAGTTCCTCATGTTGTGGTGACCCCCAACCATAAAATTATTTTTGTTGCTACTTCATAACTGTAATTTTGCTACTGTTATGAATCGTAATGTAAATATCTGATATGCAGGATGTATTTTCATTGTTCGCGACCCACAGGTTGAGAACCGCTGCACCTAGAGTAACACAAAATACAGATATCAGATTGGAGTTGCAAAGAGTTTCCTAAAATATTCCCCTCTCTAATGTTGCCCTTCAATCCTTGGTCCATGGGAGCATGAAGCAGAATCAGATGGGAAAGACACAATATTTCCAGTTTTAAAGATCTCTTGTAGACAAGATATAGCATCTGTCTAAATAATGAATTTCTGTACAATCCCAGGAGCAATCTTGCATGTTATAGTCGGATCCACTTCATTACCCAGTTATTTTGTACCTTCCCAGGCTGTTAGTCAATTCACCCTGCTGCCTAGCAAGTTTCTGATTAATCTGGATTTCACTAATTACCCTGCAGTTATATGGATTGAACTAAACTGCTTTAAAGTATTATTTTGCTATAGGTTTCAAATCAGTTTTTATAGAATATGTTGCAATGACACTCCAATTGCAGATGTGATAATGAGTCTTTCCATAGGAAGGACGTCCAGGAACTGTATTTTAATTCTTCCTCATACAATCTTTCTTTCAGGGAAATATTTTTCATCCAGGGGATCAGAGGTGTGTTTAAGAAACATATGTAATACCGTAATCAATAAAAAAGGAATTTAAAAAAGAAAAGAAAAGAAAGTTCCATTTTAAAAAAGTAAGGCATCAGGCTTGTGTTGCTGTTTCAGTGTCATGACTGGGGAGAAATAAGGCACAGGTATATAGAATTCAACAGAATAATAAATGCCAAAGGTCAAACTCTTATCTCAGCTCCACACCTACAAACCTTTGATGACTATCTTCCAAGAAACAACACTGCCATCTGGCTGTATTACATTGAGAAATGATGCTGATGCTTTTCTTTTCAAACCCAACCCTCTAGGCATTCAAACTATTTCTGGATTTCAAAATCCCCTAAGTAGAATTCTATAATTCTGGAAGATTTCTATAATATACTTAAGGACACAAAATGATAAAGCACAAAATCAGAACGTGATCATTGGAAAATATCTCAAGTTCATGAACATGAAGCTCGGAACTGAAGCACAAAGGTAGTGCTGCAATGCAGGTCATAAAGCTTGAGGAAAAAGGATTGGAAGGCGTGCATAAAAACCAATGCAGGGAAATCAGTACTTAGAAGGCAAATGAAGAAATTAAGGAGAAATGATGGTGAGGACAGTTTAGTGAAAATTAAAATACTTTGGAAAACATTAAATAATATTTAACAGTAGAATCAGCAGGCCTCGATTCTTGGTTATAGTTTGGGAGGAGAATGAGGAAGAGTAATAATGCCTAGGTTTCTGACATTAGCAACAGATTGTAGAGCCATTTATTGACACGAAACCTGGAGGAGACTCTGGTTAGGGGGAGAGCCCATAAGTTCTCTTTTAATTTATTGGTTCTGAAGTGCTGGTGGTGATTCGAGGAGACTGCCCTTTGACAGTCTGCCTCAAAGGTCTTAAAAAGGAGCAGTGTAAGATTATTTAAGACCAGGATTCAGCTATTAGTGGAAGTGGATTATTTTCCTATAGACAATTAAAGTATGTTTTGCTGATCCAAAATATCATTATCCTATGCTTCAAGGCAAAGGTGGCTACTGAAAGAGGTTGAGAAGGATGAACAGAAGTCTAAGACATGTCTAGTGAATAAAAAAAAATATTTTGGCAGGAACAAATTAGGAGGTTATGAGAAAAAGGACCTGGTATTTATTTTGCCTTTACTATAGTGCTCAGCAGTACATAGTTAATATGTTAGATCATTTTAATCCTCAGCCTTAGAAGACAGGCAATACTCCTCCATTTAACATTCTTTGCTTGGTTAACTATTATATCATTCATTCCACAGTTTAATATTATTTCCTCAGGAAAGCCATCTTTAACCACCATACAATGATCATTCCTTCTGTCATTAACTTCAATCCTCCTTTGGTTATAAACATCTTGTCATTATTTATTCTATACCTGTTGTATCTGTCAGGTTAGTATAGCTTATACTATTATAGCAAGCATCCCCTCAAATATTAGAGGCTTGAAACACATTTTTTTCTCACACTATGTATTCAAAGCAGATCAGGAGGAAGGTCATGCTCATGGTAGTTACTCAGGGATCAATGCTGACAGTAGTTCTAATAGCTTACTCTTCTGACCCTGAGGCATAACTGTGGCCACAGACAGCCGGCAGGAGTGTATGTTATGTAGGAGGGAACTGGAGGAGGGAAGATGAAAAGATGTGAGCACTTTCAGTAGGGAGATACCAGGTTGGCTTTTAAGAAACCACCTCTGCAGGTTTCCTTGAGAGCAATGCTCTAGAAACCCACAAGGCTCTTGTTCTTGGTCGTCCTGTCCCCTGAGAACCCAGTGGAGGAAATTAGAGCGAGTGTACCTCAGAACATGCCAGCCCTGCCTGTGACTGATCTGGGATGACAAGAGGGGCTGGGAGTGTGGGTCCTCTCTGTGTTCAAGGGTCCCTTCAATTCACATACAGGATTTATCACATCAACTTTGGGTAGGCCCACAACTACCTTAAATCTTCTGGGAAAAAATGAAATTTTCCTTGATGCTGGAACTACCTGTTAATTCTCTATCTGCTGACCTGCAGTTATCCTCATTGACAGGGTTCCTCGCCTCCCCGAGATGCCCTGGGAAGAAGTGAAGGAGGCTCATCATGTCACTATCTCTGGGCCACCCAGGTCTGATAGTAGGGACAGGGCTTTATGTGGTTCACTTCTTTTTGGGAGAGGTCCCCTCATCTTCACTGTGTCATCACCTTGACTCCTGTTGGGAACTGGGTCTCCTCCCAGTGCTGAATGGGGCTTCTGCCATTACACCCAACCCCTTATGTTCCTGAGACCACCCTGAGAGTTCTAAACCTGGCTTCCCAAGGCAGACTGCAGAGGGGGAACTTTGTGTGGCCTTCTCTGTTCTGGGGTAATTGGTTGTCTGATTCCTTATATAAGATTTGTACCTTGACATCTATCATGGCTTGGGACTCCTCTCTCTCTCTCTCCCTCTCTCTCTCTCTCTCTCTCTCTCTCTCTCTCGGCAGCCAGCCCTGGCACCAAGGCCCCCTAAAACATTGCAGGAAAAAGCCAGGGGTACCTGAGCCTCCCAGCTCTGCCCTGAGACTCCCAAGGCTAACAGCAAGGGTGGTATCAAGTATAGTTCCCTCCATTATGTAATGAGTGGTCTGCATTTCCTCACTCAGGATCTTCATCTTGACTCCACACATTTCCTGGGGTTCTATCTTCTGCTGACTTGAATCCATGACCCTCAGACAAAAATCCTCATATACCTGGGACCCAAGTTGACAGAATAATTGTGGCCTATGCCTGCTGACAACAGGGACAGGCTCTCTGACCACATTGGTCTGGAGTCAGTGCCCCCCCTCAGTCCTCATTCAGGACTTTGACCTTGAGTCCAGGTAGGATTTAGAATTCCTCCCTATACTGACCTCAGTCTACAAGCCTCAGACCAAAGCTCTAACCTCTCTGAGTACTCCACAGCTGGCTACCTAGCCAGGATGCTGTTCTGTGCAGTTCCCTATTTTGAGGAGTGTTCTACTTAGTAGCACCGATGGTCTTACCTTTAATCCTTTTAGGGCCAAGAATCCTCCCTCTGCCTAATGGAGTTGCCCACTTTAGAAAAAGGCCTTTGTCTACCTGAATCTACCTCCTTCCCAGGAAAAAATGAGGAGTTACCTCAGCCTGTATTACTCTAGGGCAGTGGTCGGCAAACTCATTAGTCAAAAGAGCCAAATATCAACAGTACAAAGATTGAAATTTCTTTTGAGAGCCAAATTTTTTAAACTTAAACTATATAGGTAGGTACATTGTTATTAACTTAATTAGGGTACTCCTAAGGCTTAGGAAAAGCCACACTCAAGGGGCCAAAGAGCCACACTCAAGGGGCTCGAGAGCCGCAGTTTGCCGACCACGGCTCTAGGGTATATAGGACTGACAGCAGGAGAGGGGCTCTGTGCAGTTACCTCTTTTATTTTATTTTTATTTTTTCACTTAATCTTAGTCTTCAAACTATGCAGCCCACCATTTGTCTGAGGGTCTGGCTTCTGCTCAAGATTTTCACAGCATCATCTAGCCCACCATGCTGCTATATGAAATTCCCTTCCATCAAAGAACTTCTATTAGGTTCAACACTGCCTTGCTTCAGGGCACTTACACTTGACTGCTCTCTTCTGTTCTGATCCAGTCTTTTCATTTGGTTTTTCAGTCTTGGAGTGTATATTACTATTTTCCCATTTCCCCAATCTGATAGACACTTCTTGACTCTAATTTTTATGGTCTGTGGCTAAGTCTTCTTTTTCTCCGCTCCCCCAGTACTAGCATGGAGCCTTCTAAGAGCAGATGTGCAATTACTGTTTGGGGAATAAATGAGCCTGTGAGCATGAGGTATATTTATTATCATTTAATTCTACATTCTCAAATTAGTCAAGGACATACTGTAATTTAAAACTTTATAAAACACAGAGTAAAAGGGATTGGGAAGCCCAAATTGATGCTATTACTTTTTTCTCTAGTGATTCCATCTATTTTACTGCTTTATTTCTTTACGTTTTCAAGGAAATGCATATTCTAATGCCATGCTATCTTGTACCACAGTACTAAATAAGATGGAAGCTTTCTAAATGTGTTTTACAAAACAGCAAAACTCTTATTTTTAAACCTGGTAAATAACAAGAATGACCAATATAATTAACTTAGATTACAATGCTAGATAAACTTTTATTTAGAAGTAACAGCACTGAAAAACAGGAACAAGTGAAAATACCTACAAATCTCTAAATTGCCCACACAGACTAAGAACACTAAGGTATCATGCAATGTGTTTCCTCCATCACCCAGCTCTCCACTACTTGGAACATGACTGCTCTTTCTCTTCAATAACCTCAACTTCACCAGGTGTGGGAGGAGCTGCTGGATATGAGCCTGAATCATTCACTGCCATAGCATTGGTATCAGCCCTTAGTGGAATTGGGGCTTGGGCTCTTTCTTTCTCATCTTGCAAAGCCTCTTCATACCAGGATGTGAAGGCGCTGGGGATGGTTTGATTAATCTTGGCGAAAAACTGCAGGACTTTCATCTTGCTGGTTTCAGCATAGGCTCTTGGGCCCCACAGGAACTCGTAGCATGGAGGATCACTGCTGGGCACCTGGCGGTACTCCAGGTACTTAAGCTTCACGAAATCTTGGGTGATGAGCTTCTTTGGCTCCCCAAATATGAAGTGCCTCTTTCCAGCATATATCTTCATCTTATTCAGGAATTCCCAGATCTTCTGCTCAGTAGCGCAGTTGCCTTTCATGAAGATCACGCCCAGGATAGTCATCAGGAGACCGGTCTTGGGAAATCCCCTGCCACGGTGGACCCTCCCATTGTTGGGGAGATCCATTTTGTTGACAAGATTATATAAATGCTTCATACCATCAACTTCCTTTAAGTCAACACCAAATACCACCTCTATGTTGAAAGATGCTCTACTGAGGATCTCAGAGAAGCTATTTTTGTACTTCTTATGGATAATCTTGAGCATATCTGCTTTCTTAATAGGCTTTTTCATTTTGTACATCTGCATCAGGAACTGCACCAATATATTGCTCATCTCAGTTAGAGGGTCTCTTTGAGACTTCGCTTTGGAAGGTGAGGTCTTGGAGGAACTTTGCTTGTTCTCCGTTTTGCAATTGACTCCTTTAGATAATTTTGTGTGAGATGCAGACTTAGTGATGGTGGATGGGGCTTTGTGAGTACACCTGCGAATGCTACATGACCTTCTAGCAGGCTTGCTCTGTGAAACAGCTTGAAGAGGAGCAGAGGGCGAGGAGGGCAATGCTTTTTCCTTGGCACCCCTCAGACCCTGGGTCTCACCTTGGGCCTGGTGGTGTTTCTCACGGGTGTGGAGCTTATTTTTTTGACATCGAGGCATGATGACTGTCAAGTACAGAAGGTAAAAGTGCAGGTTGGGCAACAGTTCATCTGGGCCTGAAAGAAGAGAGGATGAGAGGGTATGAGCACTTTCATCAGGGATATACTACCTTGACTTAAAGAAGGCCACTTCTGCAGCTGTCCTTGAGGGCAGTGCTCTAGGAACTTACAGGGCTCCTGTTCTGATCAATCTGTCCTCTGAGAACTGTGTGGGGATCATTAAAATGAGCCTCAGGCTGCAGCTGGGCAGTCCTCCCTGAGACTGTCCAGGCAGACCTTAGCCTGAGAGCTCTTAGAGACCTTCCACTGCTGGTCACAGAGGTGGGTCTTTGTAGGGTCACTTTTGTTACGAGAGCAGGCATGGTCTCAGCAGTCCACACTCAGATCCTCACCTTAAGACTTCAGACCAGGCAGCTGGGCAGGGGTGGCTCAGGTTGACAGATAGTCTGGTGGTCTCTAAGCTCTCACTTAGGGTCCTCATTAGATACCTTTTAGCTCCCCCTCAGGTCTCTCATGGTTAAGAATTGTGGTGGGGGTCTGTAAATCCCCCTCATTTCTGGGACTAGTGATCCCCTCTTTGCTCACTCAGGGGTTTCACCTAGTGCTACTTGGGCTGACTGCAGCAGTAGTCAGCACTAGTCTTGTGAAGTCCCTGCTGCTATGGAGTGTGAGGGTCCCCTCAGTTTCCATTCAAGATCACCACATCAACTTTTGGCAGGGCCTGGGCCCCCTGGTAAATAACAAGAATGACCAATATAATTAACTTAGATTACAATGCTAGATAAACTTTTATTTAGAAGTAACAGCACCGAAAAACAGGAACAAATGAAAATACCACCCCCTGGCAATGGGCAAGGAGACACCTGATTGGTGGTGTTGCTCTTATATCAGTCAGGGGCAAAGCAGATGTACAGTCCTTAGTTCATCCTAGCTTGATGCCTGTGTCGGTGGCCAGAGCTGTTTCATGCCTGAGGTACATAAAATGAAAACAAGAAAAAGAAAAAAAAATAGCTACAAATCTCCAAATTGCCCACACAGACTAGGAAAACTAAGGTATCATGCAATGTGTTTCCTCCATCACCCAGATCTCCATGCTCTTCTAAATATGTACTTTATACTCAGATCCTTATCTTCTTGGTGCACCTTAAAGGGAAATATAGGGGCACCTCTGCCCCCTGTCCTTGCCAGGGGGCACTCATTGCTGACAGCTCCATGGGACTCACTGCCCTGGACTCATTGAGGTCCTCAGTACCCATTCAGGGTCTTCAACTTTACTCTAATTAAGGCCTGGGACACTGTCTCTGCAGATCTGATGTCCATACACTCAGAAAGGCTCTCACCCACACAATACCATCAAATAAAAAAGGGTCACATACACCTGACTTCCATGCCTGGTCTCCTTAGTGCTGCAAGGGGGCACTCTCTGTGGTCTGCTATTTTTTTTGGGGGGGGGTGTGGGTGGTACCACCAGTGTTCATTCAGGAACCTCCCTTGCGTCTCCTCTCTCTGCAGAATAAAGGCTTCTCAATGAGTCTAACACTCTTACCCGCCCAGAACTTTCTCGACAGAAATGATAGGGGTGGCTCAGACTGACAGATAGTCTGGTGGTCTCTAAGCTCTCACTTAGGGTCCTCATTAGATACCTATCAGAGCCGGAGACTCCTCTCTCTACTGAACCGAGTACATCAGCCTCCAAACAAAGGTCTCACTTCCTTGAGTTCCTAGGGGGAAAGTCGGAGCCTGCCAAATGACTAAGCCTGCCTGGAGACTCCCAAAACTGAGAGGAGGGGTGCTGCTTTGTGTTGCTATCTTTCATGGGAAGGCATCCCATCATTAGCACCTAAGGCCCTCTCGTTGACTCTAGTTAGGGCCTGGGTTTCCTTGATCTGAGGAATCAGAACTACTCTCTTAGTCCAAGGCGTTCTTCCCTGAGACTGTCCAGGCAGACCTTAGCCAGAGAGCTCTTAGAGACCTTCCACTGCTGATTACAGAGGTGGGACTTTGTAGGGTCACTTTTGTTATGGGAGCCGGCGTGGTCTCAGCAGTCCACACTCAGATCCTCACCTTAGACTTCAGACCAGTGCAGGAGTCCAACCTCAACGGAAAAAAAATGACAGCCAGTCTAAGATACTTGATGCCCAAGAGGAAGTCTGGGCGAGTCACATCCGGCTATGGCTGCCCAGGGTCTCTAACAGCTGACGGCAGGGGCCGGACTCTGTGGGACCCGGTGGTCCGCAGGTTTTTATTCAGGGTCTGCACCTTGGTTTCTATCAGAGCCTGAGAACCTCTACTAACTGGAGGCTGCCAGTCCCCAAACAAAGCCCTCACGTTCCTGAGAAGGCAGTGAGGTAGACAGGGCACACTGCTTGTGATATCTGCCCTCACAAGCCTGACAACAGGAGCGGGGTTCTATGAGCATCTCTCTGCAGAACTGGGACCCCATCCTGTTAGACAAAGCCCTTCCCTCCCTGAGATCACCAGGCAGAAATGAGGAGGCTTCTCAGCCTTTTAACTCCCTCCTGGGGTTTCTCACGGTTAAGAATTGTGGTGGGAGTTTGTAAAGCTCTCTCACGTATGGGACAAGTGATCCCCTCTTTCCTCACTCAGGGACTTTACTGTGCTCCTAGAAAGTTGTGAGATTCCACCCTCCCTGACCCGAGGTTACTGTACTCAGGTCAAGTTCCATTCCTTGTGGAGACCTCCCACATGGAAGGAAGAGTGAACCACATTAGGCCAGGGATGTTTGGGTCCTGAGAGGGTGACTGCAAGGCTGAGTCTCTATGGAACAGCACTGTTCTGGAGTCAGCGGTCCCCACATCCCTCATTCAGTGTCCTCAACTTGATATCTGTCCAATCTAGGATCCACCCTCTCCTAAACTGAAGCCACTCTCCTTAGGCCAAGACCTTCACCTCACTGAGAATTATGAGTACAAGAAGGGGTGCACAAACAGAATGCTTTGCCTGGGCATTCTAGGTCTGAGAACAGGTTTGGGCAGGTTTCTGAATGACCCCCTACATTTGGGGGTGATTGTCTCTCCAGTCCTCATTCACAGGGATCCTCATTTTGTCTCCTGTCTCCTAGATGAACAGATTCCTGGGAAATGCCACATTCCTGCAAATTCTTGAGCAGTGTCCCTACTGCAAACCTTGCAGGTTCATGTGGCAGACTTGTGAGATAGGGAAACTGTAACATAAGGCAGGGGACACACCATAGGGATGGGCTGTTAGAGAAAAATGACACTGGTTTCTCCAACAGTCAGAGTTAGCCTTCTGACTTCTGTTACAATTGATTTAGCTCCTAACAGACAGGAGTTGTCAGGAGGGCTCTGGGAATCCCTGGTTTTGAAGTTATCTGACTCCGCAGATGGAAATAGTTACATTGTCACTGAATATGTTTCTCCTCTTTATTCGTAACTTTCACTTTCCTGTGGTGTTCTTAGTTGCTTTTGCTCTGTATTCCAATCCAATACTTTGGGCACAGAGTCCTTACTTTTATTCCCTGAGGTACATTTTGGAATATTAAGGAACACTAAGTCTGCTTTAGGTAGACAGTAGAATGAACAGTTTGGGTTCTAGAGGAATTCAGGGCAGGAGCCTTCTCCCAGCCCTGTCACTTATTAGTCCTGTGAACTTGAGCATATTACCAAACTCCAAAACACAAAAATCGCAATAACCAAAAATGCTGCTTAGCAAGGATAATTTTGTAATACATCCTCATCAGACGATATAATATATAATCTGTGGGAGAATCTGTGGCTGCCCACTTTGATGAAGTTCCTCACTTCCAGGAGACTTCTGGGAGAAAAGGAGTATTGACTAATCATGCCACCATGACTAGGTGATATGTTCTCAAGTCTGACAACACATACAGGGCTCTATGTGGCCCCCTTCTTTCTGGGAGAGATACACCCACTCTTACTCCATGTCATCATATTGAATCCTGCTAGAAATGGGGTACCCTTCCTTTACTGAATGGGGCCTCCCCCATTAGTCCAAGGATGTTAAGTCCCTAAGACCACCCCCTTTTAAGAAATGAGGGTTAACCTTCACCTGGAAGCTCCGCCTCTGACCTTCCAGGTCCAACTACAGATAGGAACATTCTAAAGACATACCTGCTATGGAGCAGTTGGTTGCCTAATTCCACATACAGGATTTTTGCCATGACACTGTCATGCCTGGGATTTCATTCTCTGCTGATGATCCAGTCTGTACACCATCGTTCTCATCTCTTTGAAACCCTGCAGGCAAAATACAAGGAGGACTTGAGCCTGCCCGCTTTTGCCCGTGCCTCCCAGTGATAACAGTGGAGGAGGGATTAATTGCAGCCCTGTCAATTGTGGGTTATTTTGTATTCATTCAAGTTGTTTACTTTGACTCTGCCCCCTTCCTGGGATTCCACTCTCTGCTGAACTGAGCCTGCAGAAAAACACTTTCCAGTGGCCTGATTTGAAAGTCAGTTTTAGCCACAAGCAACCTGACAGGGCCGAAGACTGAACCTCACAGGGCTGACCACTGGGGTGGGACTCTATGGGATCTGACTGCTCTGGCTGGGCCCTGCCATAATCCTCATTAAGGTTTATCACTGCCATTTCTATGAGAACCTGATACTCCTTCCTCTAATGACCTGAGAACTCTGCTCTTAGACCAAGGCTCTTATCCCCCTAAGCCAGAATATGGGGGGGTGGGTATGTTCAGCCTGACAGTTGTTTCTGAGGCTCTCTGTGTTTGAGAGCACATGGGACCGGTGTCCCTGTGATCTCCTATATTCTGGGGTGTTGGTCTCCCCTGTCCCCCCTCCCCCTACTGGGGCCCTCATCTTGGTTCCTATCTCTTGGATTACAGGCTTCCTGGTAAATTCCACATCTCTGCAAATTCTGAAGCAGTTTCCACTTTACACACCTTGCAGAGAATAGGTCCCTGTCCAGGAGTAAACTGTAGCACAAGGCAGGAGTCCCTGAGCAGGTGGTGGGCTTGTCTGGGGGGAAAAATGCATTGAACTAT